TGCTACAGTACCCCTCGGCTAGACCGAAGGTGGCGCGTAGCGATACCGAAGGAACTGTTGATGTCTAAAAAACATGAGTAACGAAACGGTCAGGAAAGTGAACATGGCGTCCACTACGGGTGATGTATACAGGGGGCACAGGAGTAGAGTGAGTATGACTCGCAGTTACATTGTTGCTGGTTGATGAAGGAGTAGTTGCAGTTGTGGGTTGCGGACATAGGGGCAGAGGAAGTATACGGGACGGTGGAATAGAGGGTCGGGGAGGGGGAGCAGGGGGTAGGGGACCACAGGGCTCATCCGGAGGAGTGTCCGGGACGGCAGCTTTGAGACGGTCCACGCTCACGACCTCCTCGCGAGTGCCGCGTTGGATGCGGAAGTTCTTCGTCCCACGTGAGATAACTCGGAAGGGGCCATCATAGGGTGGTTCCAGGGGCCGGCGGACTCGATAACATCGGAGATAGACGTGAGAGCATGTTGCCAAGTCCTTCTCGAGATAAGACGGAGAGGCGGAGGACCTGGGAGGAAGAGATACCCCGGACAGTGAGATTGGTGGTCTTGTCGTGTAGACGTGACTGACGGTAGTCGACCAGAATATCGAAAGCGGCGAGGAAATCTGCACCGAGAATTGCACAGGGGATGTCAGCAACGACGAAGACCTAAGGGAAGAGACGCCGGAGACCGATTTCCAGAGAGAGGGAGCAGGTGCCAAATGTGGTAATCGGCGATGCGTTGACGGCCTGTAGGAAAAGACCGGGATTGGGGCACCGACGATCAGCTGGTGTGGGTGGAATGACACTTAGCTGGGCACCAGTGTCAACCAAGAAACGTCTGCCCCTCCTGGTGCCGCGGACGTAAAATGTGTGGCCAGGGTTAGAGCTGTCGGAAAGATTGGTTGCACAGACCTTCGGGTTGACCGGCTTAACCCGTTTGCTCTGCTTGGAAGTGAAGGAGCAAGGAGAGATGCAGCGACAGGCTTTAGCACCGAAGGTGGTGTGGTACCAGCAGGTGGCAGCTGCGTTTGGACGGGCTGAATGAGAAGACTGGGCATGCGGGATGGAGGGCTTCGGTTGGCTCCGAGATGAGGCAAAAACTGTCTGCTTCTGGAGAGCGGCTATATCATCGGCCAGTTTGCTGAGCTCGATCTCTAACTGCGAAATGGGAGACGCAGGAGGAGTTGAGGGAGTTAAGTGCTGAAATAGACGGCTTGGAAAAACCGTGCATCTCCATAAGCCGATCATCCATCTGAGTAAGTTGCGTGGCCGAAAGAATGCCGAAGGCGGGTGCCAAAATATGCTGCACTTCTGGTGGAAAATTGTCCATGATCAACACCTGACTTTGTCGTAGATTAGGAAGAACGTAGATTGCTGTTCGTAAGGAGTCACCAATTGTCGGAAGTTGTGTGGTCGACAAGATAAAGATTCCCAATCAAAAGTCAGGGAAGACGATTTGAGTTGGACAACCTTTACTGTCTGAGGAAGTGCGTACACAAGGGCTCTGTAGGCAGTTGCCGCGAGCGCGCTCCAAGCAAGCTGTTGTCCGTGTCCGCCTTCGAGGTGTTGTGTTAGCGCGTGTGTGCGCCCTTCGTTGTCTCCACGTCGCCAGCCAATCAGAGTGGGGACAGCGTTGATCGGCTTCGAGCACTCGCGCGACCCAGCAGCGTATTGACATGGAGTGTGAGGCGGACAGGACGGCAGCATGACAAAGGCGGAGGGTGAGGAGACGCGAACTGCTACAGGCTCACCGGAACGGGTTTATTTGACTGTTGGCGTTTCGAAGAGTTTGGTCGTGTCCCATTGTCAAGGCGTAAAAGATACTTGATCAACCTGAAATTTCAAGTGGCCGGTCGCGTCTGTAGGCCTCACGCTGATCGATTTTTCTCTTCTCTAGCTGCCTTGGCCTCTCGGGCGATGATTGGCGGGCGTCTTATCTGTGTGCTTAGGGAGTCACCGCTTCGTTGGGGGAGGTAATTGAATCTTCGTCGGGTGGTCAGTCAGGTGGCCCTTTCCTCGCCGAGTAGACTCGCCGTCTGCCTGCCTATGTACGGCCTTCTTAAGTCCAGTGTGGTTACTCGGTCCTAAGCTCTACGGACGTTATGGCGTAGGACTTCGTAGGCTGCAGGAAGGTCCGGATGCCTGTTGATGAATTTGGCGTCAGAGTGCCAAGCCTCGAGTGTTAATTGTTCTGCTTTTCTGTTGCCCCGGCCTAAGATGGAAGCCCTCTGGGGATCGAAAGTATGCTCAGTTTCTCCAACGTGTGTTGTTAGTTGAGAGTTCTGATATAGCCTCCGAGACTAGAGTTCCCTTAGGGACAAATTCGTCACCGATATCAGCATCTACGCCACCCAATGACCAATCCCGACAACATTAAAAAAATCTTACGAAGTTCCACATCCCAACCCAGGAACTATGTTGCAGGTGAATAAACAGGTTGTCCTTGGCGGCTTCAGAACCAGATTAGACAACGATCGGGTGAAGGATCCCAAACACACACACACACACACACACACACACACACACACACACACACACACAACCAGCCAAAAGTACCTGTCTTACGGGAAAGGTGGTAATAGGAGTTTTACGGGCGGGGCCTATGTATGCATACAGGAATGATAAAATAAGTATAGATAATTGGTAAATTCGTTTTTCGGGCGGAAAAGTTTTAATGCGTTGACCTATAGCAAGTGAAATTAGGCAGGACAATTTAAAAAAATAAACATTAAGTGTCTACAACGATCGCTTCTGAACTCTCTGAGCTGAGGTCATTGTAGATAATCCACCAGACTGTCTGCAACGATCGCCTCTCAACTCTCTGAGCTGAGGTCATTGTAGATAATCCCCCAGACTGTCTGCGACGATCGCTTCTGAACTCTCTGAGCTGAGGTCATTGTAGATAATCCACCAGACTGTCTGCAACGATCGCTTCTGAACTCTCTGAGCTGAGGTCATTGTAAATAATCCATCAGACTGTCTGCAACGATCGCTTCTGAACTCTCTGGGCTGTCATTGTAGATAATGCACCAGACCGTCTACAACAGGACAACCCAACCTTGTACCATGAATCACCAAACCGAAATAATCGTGTCCGACTAAAACCCGCTTAAATAATTATGGTAGGTATTCTTTGTATGCCACAGATGCTTGGGGCCTTCACCCGACCCTTACCTAGACACGTACCACATCACCTAGGAAGGAGTGCTTGCTAGTCTAACATCCAACTACAACAATGCTAACGGACTTCTTCGGCCGAAGACTTGAGCAGGACAGAACCGCGTTGGGATTGGTCTTCGCAGAGGAGCCATTGAGCCTGACTATCAGTCCTTAGAAAAACCGTGTCATCCTGTCGGTTAGTCGTTTCCCAGACCACGACTTTTAACGCGTAGTGGTAGATTCAAGCGAATCAGAATAATGCGTGGGGATGGACTCCTCAGAGTCTACCTGACTCGCTCTGCCCCCTAATGCGCCAGTCGGTCATATGAGCCAATCAATAATTTCGTACTTTGGTTGAACGGAGTGGCTGGCACGGTGTGAAGCCTACTCCTAGGCGTGTCACCGCACATGAGGAAATAGTTCTGGGACCCGCGGGGTTTGTGATGCTCGATTTATGCATGCCGTGACCGAATATGGCCCACTTTTGACCCATCGCATCTTCAGAGTGATCCGTATTGTGGGCTCGATCATACCAACCGCCTGATGGCGCGCAAAGGCGGCTCTTCCAAAGGGGGAAAGGCATACTGCATCGCGAATCTGAGGGAAGGGTGCGTGAACGGTTTTATGCACCCACAAAGGACAAACAGGAGGTAACAACCAACACTGTGTGTCACTCTCTGCCGTATATGAGGAATGCATTGCCATGGAGTTGAGTTTGAGTGGCATCGATCGTCCAGTAGTCACCATGCGCGCCATAATCAGGCAGATGAAAGGCTGACTAGATGCAAGTAAACAATTGAGTGTAGTCCATAAAATCCTGTGCCACGAGTGTCCCTACCATCATACAGGCCAGGCGGCACGGCGTCTCAGTTCACTGCAAACGAGCCGTCCGGAGAGCAGACTCCTTGTTTCAAATTGTTACCCCCACTCTGGAAGAGGGCCACGACTTCGGCATCACTATCGCTCGGATGGCGGTGCGAGACGGCCATAAGGGGGGGGGGAGGGAAACTGCTTCGGGTCTGGGGTTCCAAAGCCAACCTCACTAACAGACATGTCGATAACGGTGTGTCGACGAAGACAAGGGAGGCCGGAATGGCCGTTTCTGGCTTACTGACCATCGTCAGCCAGTCGAATCCAAATCCGGGTGTGGAGAACCTGGAATTTGAACCCAGGGTCATTGTTCATCGGGTCTAGTGCTTTACCACATAGCCACGGCCCATACTTCTGTCGGCTGTGATCGGGAATATTAATTATGACAGAGTGAGGCTCTTCGATCAGGCTACGGGACATGTTTGTCCCGTTGTGCCCTCAGACAGGCGCATGTGGCAAGCAGTAGTATATATTGGGATATCGACGAAAAGAAGAGGGATCTGAGTAGCCACTCCTCGCATATTAGCCGTCATTTGCGAGCCACATGTTGATATACGCCCTTTTGTCATGCGTGATGTCTACGCGGCCCACATCACAGCCAGAGACGCGCACCGTCACCACACTACGAGAAAACCGTAGATCAGACGACATGAATCCAGCCCAGGCATGGAAACGACCTCCTCTCTACTTTTATAATGATGGTGGACTTGCGGAGCACCTACCACACTTCCACCGCCAACCTCCTCCCCCCAATTTTTCCCTTTCCTCATCGGCAGACACTAGAGTCTTCCAAAGGGAAAAACGCACTGCAGTGAGCCAGAGGGACGAGTACGAGAACTTCGGCATCTTCGGGACCAACTGGCAAGGAACGGACACCCGAGCAGTTTCGTGAGCCGTTGCCTTCGCACGCGCCCACGGCGAACAAACGGAGGGGAGCCGCCAACACTCTGGCATCCTCTACCATATATAAAGAACGTGTCGATGGAACGTATCGCTGGAGAGCTCGGCGTGGATATTGCCCACCTTCCGACAGCGATCATGCGCAACAAAGTCATGCGAGTGAAGGATCGCCTAGACGTGGGAGAACAATCGGGTGTCGTCTATCAGATCCTATGTCGGGACTGTCCTCGCCACTACACAGGACAGACCGGACGACTTAACTCACGAACAACGGAGCACAATCGGGCGTTCCGAAGAGGCGATCGGGTGTCTCAGGTTGTCACTCACACCCTGGAGGAAGGCCAGGAATTCAACTTTGCGAGCACGCGAATAGTAGCTCGGGCCAGCAACAAGACAGGGCGAGAACTGTTGGAGGCCTGGGTGTCTGACACCAACTCTATTAACAGACATGTTGACATGCCCCTCTGTTATTACGCGCTCCGTTCCCGCGGCCAAGAGGCGAGACCCAATTCACGGTCAAGGGTGCACGCAGTCACGCCACCGTGAGACGGCGTGGGACTCAGCTTATCGCGAATACCACCCTCGGCACTCATATCCCCCCCTTTCATGGCTTGACTACAAAAACTGCTCATTTGATGTCGCATTCTCACAGTCTCTGACGATGGCCTCCTGTACGAGACCGAAAGCTCAGACTAATACACCTACTGTCCCAGAGATCGCATGTTCATTTTCTTTACAGAAAATTGTTCAGTCGTTGTTGCACTCTCATAGTTTCAGAAAGTGGACTCGCATATAAGTCCGAAATCTCAGACTGATATAATTACCGTTCCAGTGATCGCACGTTCTTCTTCTGCTTCTTCTTCCTTCTCCTCTTCTTTAGACGACGAGCATATGGCACTTGAGCACACCAGCCCTCAACCAATACGACCTAGGCTGCTAGACATGGAACGCCTGGGCTTGCTCCCCACAAGCCTATTAAAGTAGCTAATGTCAAGGTCTCTCTCTTAGCTCACGACCTGGCCTCACCCGCGGCCATCGCGGACAAAGGCAGCAACTCTGGATTCAGCTCACGAGAGACCCCCTCCTTCGTGTGTTTTTCATCATATCCTGTTCATTGATTTCGGTACTCAAAGTTCGCCCACTAAATCAGCCGCTGCAATCAGTTCATAAGTTAAACTTCAGTTAGATATGGCAATGTAGCCGCACCTGAGGTAAACTAACCTCAGTCACCTGTAATACGGGACCGGTTATAATAGGGGTTTTTACAGATGAAGCCGGGAAGCGCACAGGCAACGGGGTCAAGTAGTTGTATGCGTGGTCTTACTTCGAGCGGTTGCCAAACAGTTTCCTAACTGCTAACCCATGACCATAAAACCAACCCTAATCCGAACCCTTTAACTCTAACCCTAACCCTTGACTGCAGCCCTAAACTCTTACCCTGAAACATTCAACGCGAAAGTTGGAAGGAGATGGACGGCCAAAAGTCAAGAAGGGCCACCGGCATTGGGCCAAAAAAAGTAGAAACGGCAACAAAGAAACAAGACCGCTAACAGAACATACACAGCAACGAACAGTAACACAATGCCAACGTAATCACACCAACTCGAAATAATTAAGTAGGCCAACAGTATTGTGTCCATCAGGTGCGGTCACATAACCACATCTTACCTAAACTTCGCTTGAACCACCTAGAGAAGTGGGAAGCGCTGGTATATCCCAGGGCTACCCTCCATTTCCTAAAAGTCCACCCAAACAGAATTGAAAGCTCCAGGGAGCAGGGAATTTTTCAGAGTCCAAGATTTGGTCAGACGCAGCGATCGATATTCCATCCTGATGTTAACCAGATTACTGACGAAAACAGCCTCCCGTCGACACAGAACGCCTGCATCCTAGCTAGCGCGCAGCATCCTTTAAAGTCCCCATACGCCGAATACATAGCCTAAGCCGACTTTCATTTTTGCCGGGTTTGCTACAACCCAGGCAGCGATGTTACGGGCGACCGCTCTAGAACACCCACCAGCCCACAAAATTTCGCCTGGAGACGGAGTAAGTCCTCTGTTTCTCCTCGTCCTCAAACCCGCTAGGTAAGTCTCTCACATCCCCGCAGCTTTATGGTGTTTGAGTACGTTCGCTGTGGCGAGGGGAATGGTAGACTAGGCGTCGTTGTTTTGAATGAGATAGAAGCCACCCTGTTGTCGACACCAAACATTCTCTGCCTGCCCAGTAGGAGGTCACGTGATAAAACGAAACTACACGTAAACCGGTTTGGAGGCAGAGGCAATCGCTTAGCTGCGCCGACTTATTTCACGTGCCATATTTAGGGGCACGTGCATCGGTGACTACAGTCACAGCGTAAGCGGCAAAACGGTGGCAAACCTTCAGCTACACCTTGCGAGTAGTCGAGGCGGCGTGCATCTCGCGAGCACAGCCTGATGGCGCTTTTGGTGACAATGATGTTGCTGCTGCCGCTGCTGCTGCTGATGACGATAGTAGTGGTGATGATGATGATGGTGGTGGTGGTGGTGGTGGTGGTGGTGATGTTGCTGCTACTACTACTACTACTACCACTACTACTACTACTACTACTACTACTACTACCACTACTACTACAACTACTACTACTACTACTGATGATGATGATGACGACGACGACGACGACGATGATGATGATGATGATGATGATGATGATGATGATGATGATGATGATGATGATGATGATGATGATGATGATGATGATGATGATGATGATGATGATGATGATGATGATGATGATGATGATGATGATGATGATGGTGATGATGATGATGATGATGATGATGGGCGATGTCAGTTGGAGACCACAGTGGTTTTCCGGGTGAAGTTCATGTGGCATATTTTCGTTGAGGAGATTGGGAGGGATGCGCGCGAAGATTTTACGAAAACGGTGCTCAGCCAGATTCCTCTGTGACTGTCACAGAATTGCTGGTCCTCTTCCCTTTTGTGCAGATGGTGTTGTCCTCGAAATCCAGGGGGTAAAAAAGAGTCAATTGCTCCTTCAGACGGAAGACGATGAATCTCTTCTCGCTCAAATTTCTCATCTATGTTAGCGTGCCTATGAGATTTGTCGCTACAGGTCAGGAAACAAACGAGGAGCCTGGACGCGAGAACGCAGACTTAAGTCCACTAAAGGAATCGCATCACTTTTGGGGGGTCGAAGAAAGTCATGGCCAAGTAAGACATCGGCGTACAAATCCAGCGGAGCCGATGGCTCGATCTTTTAGTAAACGGTATCTTTATATTTAGTTGAGACGGGAACATACAATAGAAGCGAAGAGACGAGTCCCAGGAAGTAGTCTTGAAGAAGGAGACACGATCGCTGGGACAAGAGCTTCACTACCCTGCGTTTCGGATTCCTACTCGAAACCATCATCAGATACAAAAGCAGATACGAGTGGTTCATGCACAAGGGACTGCAGTATTTATAGGATGCAGTCGCCATGCTACCGCATACCTATGAATGTTCACGACTCCCCCCCCCCTTCATCCGGGATCGTCGCACTTGGTGTGCTTATTGTTTGATGGTCGACATTCGCGTCGTTAATTGTCGCAATTTCGTCACGTGCGTTGGGTGTTGGTGTGATGATTGCTCTACCATCTGGTCCACCGACCCTGGAGTTGTGGAAAGTGTTCACTTGTGCGCTCCCCGCGTGGCTAATTACTCCGCCTAGGCGAAGTCTCAGCACCGAGTATGGAGTGGGAAGTTCATTGCACTTGCTAATGGACTGGGGGCCAGTAAACCATGATTAAAGTAGCTCACGCGATTGTCACCTCTTGCGAGAATTTCGGCCTCGTCGAATTTGCAGCAGTGGAATCAATCCTTTGTCAGACGGAGGCAACGAAGGAGACTAAGAACCTCATCCGACACCAAGTGTCGTCTCTCCTGATGGCCCACAGGCCGCAGGAAGTGCGTTTCAAAGTCGAACGTGATGCGCTTAGAGAACTCAAGGCCGATAAAGACCTGGTCATCGTGCCAGCGGACAAAGGACGCGCCACCGTTGTACTGGACAGGACAGACTACCTTCAAAAAGCCAAAGGTTTACTGGAGAACCGACAGTTCTATGTCCCATGTGCAACGAACCCTTTAAAGGCGCTGACACGCGAAATTAATATTACGTCGTTGGCCTTGCAGAACTCAGGTGCAATAACACCGACCGACAGACGCATGGCAAGACCCCAAAATACGGCTTTGGCCCGATTCTATGGCCTCCCTAGGGTGCACAAAGACGGCGCTACTCCTTGACCCATCGTGTCGCTCAAAGGGACTCCAACGTATGGACTGGCTAAATGGCGGTTCCGGCGTCTCAAGTTCCTGACCGCTGAGTCAGACACCACGGTCTCTTCGTCAGCACAATTCCTGGAGAAACTCAAAGGGGTAAGCATCCATCCAAATGACGTCATGGTATCTTTTGATGTTACATCCCTTTTTACTTCTATTCCCCAGGACCTGGCGATCGAGACAATTGAACTGCTACTACAAAGCAAATACGATGAAACGGATAACCGTCTTGGACACGCCCAAATCCTTCAGCTCCTGAAGTTCTGTCTCAGGACGTACTTCAGGTTCGACGGGACAATCAACGAACAGGTGAAGGGCACACCAATGGGTTCGCCGATTTCGGGATTCATCGCCGAGGCGGCCCTACAACGGTTAGAGTCGCTGGTCTTCAAACAGCACAAACCGAAGTTCTGGGCCCGGCATGTGGATGATACCTTCGTCGTCATCGAACGGAATCAGGCGCTGACATTCAAAAAACATCTCAACGCCGTCGTACCGAACATTCAGTTTACGATGGCCATCCTAGATGTCCTCGTAAGTCGCAAGGATTGTGGTGGACTAAAGCGCAAAGTGTTCAGGAAAGAGACAAACACGATGCAAGTACTGAACTTCAACAGCAACCACCCAATCAGCCACAAACGCAATTGTGTAAGGACGCTCTATCCGCGTGTCGAAACGCACTGCAGTGAGCCGGAAGACAAGATCGCCAAACTACAATACCTCCAACGGGTCGTCAAAGTCAATGGCTACCCGCGCAACTTCGTCAACCGGTGCATACGCAAAAGGGACGAAAGGCCTAACCGTACGGACACCAAATCTTGGCGGGCGCTTCCGTCTGTCAAGAACGTTTCGGAAGCTTTGGCCGCCTTTTCGCACCACTTGGGGTTGGAGTTGCACACAAACCGGAGGTAACCATCAGGCGTCTGGTAATGAAACCGAAAGACCCACTGTCACGGCAAGAAACGTCTGGAGTCGTTTACCGGATCTGGTGCAGTTGCGGACAGAGCAACTACGTCGGAGAAACCGGAAGGCAGCTCCAAACGAGAATGGCCAAACACGCTGCAGCGGTGCGGAGAAATGACGCCAGCTCTCAAGTTGCGGCTCATTCGACGGGTTCCGGACACACACTCAAATTTGACGAGGCCGAAATTCTCGCATGAGGTGACAACCGCGTGAGCCGGGAGCTACTTGAATCATGGTTTACTGGTCCCCATTTCATAGGTATGCGGTAGCATGGCGACTGCATTCTATAAATACTGCAGCCCCTTGTGCGTGAATCACCCGTATATGCTGTTGTCTCTGAGGACGGATTCGAGCAGGAATCCGAAACGTCAGGCTAATAAAGCTCTTATCCCGGCGATCGTGTCTCCTTCTTCACGGGAACATACGCCTTCGTGGCGCTGATTAGGACAGTGGTGGTCATGGATATCGTAGTGCGGGTAAGGAATATTTGCAGGGAACGGCCCTCATCTTCTCTTATTCCTCTCTGAGACTTGCGAGGATGTCGTCCACCAATCTACCGACGCACAGCGACTTTGAATCAGTAGTTGCGAAGTATTAGTGACGAGGGCAAGAGGTACTACATTCTCCGAAAATACTTGTTGATTACGACAGCGGCCTGAAATGATTCGCCATGCTGCTCGAGGATTTAACGAGACGAGGGGATCTGACTTAAATAACCGAGCCCGGAGTGAAAACCCAGATAAATATTGCAAGAGCTTTGTTGGAGATATCAGAAAGACCACTATCACAGAAATGTTCACAAATTAATCCGTCACTCCTCGAGATGATCAGGGCAATCACAGCAGTTGAACGTTTGTCAGCCCCTGGTTCTGCTTTAAAAGTATTAAATTATAAGTCAGCGTTAGCGAGGACAATCGCGCTCGCCCTCACTTAACATGCTCCGTAGCACTCATGCTGTGATGAATAAGTTTATTATCCATGTAATCATGGTGGTCTGGAGATAAAATACCGAAAAGATGTGTCTGCTAATCCACTTTCCAATCGTAATATGGGAATTTTTGCCGAAAACTTCGACCTCTTGAAACCGCCTTTTTGAAGACAAAAAGTTCAGCACTGAAACGTCTAGACATTAATAGATTTGTTTTGATGCAAGATTTTCATTTTGGGATTTACTTAAAGCTTTCATGCAGGAGATTCCATTCTAAAAAAGACACGGAAATCAGTTGTAAGCAGCTCTAGGGAACATTAGCATATTGGACCCTTGGTTTACTGGGACGATCGTATCCAGGACACCAGATTGAAATCTTTTCCTACCTTGGTGGTATTGTCGTCCGTTAAATGAAGCTTTCTCAACTCTTTTTGAGAAGATGAGAAAGTGCATACGAGTTAGAGTGACATGGACCGTCGACAAGTCCCGACTGAAAGTCACCTAACGTGGGAGCAGGGAGTAAGCTGATTATATTTTCTGATCCAAATTATGCCAACGAGTCGTATTTACAGGATCTCGCGCAAAAAAGTGAGCAACTCGTTCTGGGAGTACTTCCTAGTCGAAAGGTTTCGTGGTCCCCACATGTATCACAGGCGATGCAATCCAAACCTGTCCTCATGCAATCAAAATCTTGCGGAATGACTAGACTGAGTACCTAGAAACTGCTGGAGGGCAGGTAGTCCGTTTCAAGGTCAGTTCTTCCAATGGGACGACCGACTCTCACTGTGTGACGATAGTTCTTGAGTTGGAACAAACGCGCACGAAAAACATAGATTTGATCCCCTGCATTATGTAAGCAATGGTGGCTAATACACCACCATCCCGCTAGAAACTGCGTCCGACTATCACCCCCTTCACCTCGTAAGCTCAATTTATTTTAGTCAAACACAGAATCTATGGAGCGAAGAACTTTTCTTTCTGGCACACACAGCGGTCAAAAAAGGAGTAGAGACGACCAATCGATTCACAGCACTTCGTTGGTGCAAAAAACCACTTTCAAAGAGCATCGTCGCACCGTCGTTGTGGTGATGGCCTAAACATGCGAAATCCCGGTTGAGAAATTCTGCCCGTATGTATCTATTCGGCCAGATGCGTATCCTACACAGCGAAATTCAACACGACGACATACCGAGCCCACCTTGCACATCCGTCAACCCTCCCATCTCCAGCACTGCTCTCCCACTCTCCATCCACTAGTGCTGTTGCCATCAACAGCATCATCACTTAAACCGGCTCAGATGCTCTCAACCTATCATGCCCACGCTGCCACCGCACATGCACATCACGCATCAGCCCGGTCGGTTACTTGCGACTTTGTCGTACGGAAACTGGCGAAACAGTCCTATGAGCGCCAACGTACGCCCGTCGCCATCGTCTCAGCTGCCCACATGCATTTGGTCATCGTATGGGCCTACTCAGTCTCAAGTCAGTCTGCGGTAAACCATCGCAGACCGGACCCAACCACCACATACACCACAAACGTGCCCATCCCACATCACCCAGCATGGGCGCAAAATAGGTCCCTCCCCTCCTAGTGAGAATCGCTATCTGCATGCGGCCTCTATGGCATTATAATGCACGTGAAATCTGAGCATCGCACCGCTTCTGTGTGAAAATCTGGCATTTTGCGGAGGCCAGGCTCCCAATCCAATGGTGAGGGATGAGAGGTAGACTCTCAGCACGCGTTCCTCATTAAAAAACAAACTGATGCGCTAATAGCTGTGGCCCGGAAGTCTGCCAAGTGACAGTGTAACTCGATCCTCATCTCAGACGGATAGTCAGGCTGCAATGGCACTCTACTAATTTGATCTGTTTAACAATCCTAGCAAGTTGGGAGCCCCTTTCTCCCTCGTGTGAAAACCTGGTCCTTTTCGGTGGGCATGCGTAGATGAACTGCTTGGTTTGGGCAGTCAATGTACCCGATCCCACCCCTGGTCTTTTTGACTCTATCTTGACACCGGGCTCAGGATGGTGAGGGAACAGAAGGGTGTGATGGACTTAGGTCAAATCCACCATCACCGAAAACAAACTTGCCCCTGCGCACGCCCTGCTGTGGGCACATGTGCGCATTGTCGGTGAGGACAGTCGAAATGTCAGGAAATTGAGTGAAACTAAGTGGAATGATTTACCGGTCATCAAAGATGGTGGTATAGACATCAAAAAATCGACGCGGTCTGTGCACACCAACGGACTAATGCGGCGAATTCTCCCATAGGAAACGAAAGGGGAGGACCGCTAACCTGGTTCCCATCAAATTAGAGACAGAGGTGTGGGTCGCAGGAAGTCGATTCTAACACAGAGATAGAATCGATTCTGGCCTCATTGTGAATCTCGCCTACCACAGGACGAATTCTTGCAGCACACTAATGGAGGGTCCCCCTGAAGGATTACATTGACTCTGGCGACTTCACCTTAGTCGGATGACTGTCGGTCCGTTCACCACCCGCACAAGTCCTCCCTAAAATGTTGTCAGGTTTTAAAAGTCGGTACTACCCGCTTACTTGTCTTCCATTAATCAAAAATATTCTTTTGAAGACCGCACCCTTTCAAAGAGCGCAACATTCTGCACTGTCTACTTGGTGCGAAGAATAGTGGGAAATAAATCCGTTCGTACCGAACACCGCGGAAAGAGGTAACTTTATGCATCCTCATTAAACCAATGTCAGAGTTTACTAGGAAACAATGATCCTTAAATGCCGATGTAAGTAACAACGATAAAAGAAGTGGTGCCGGGACCGCGGTGACCGCATTTGAGGAATGTTACTTGGTAAGAACCAAATGTCTTAAAATCAAGTTAGCCAGACCGAAGCCGACGGTAGTGACTATTGAACAGTAAAAAGACACGGATGCGATGTACGGCAAGAGCAAGTCAGTGCGATCGCGGACATATACATAAATAAAGCAGGCCTCAGTGTTAGAATTCAGGTTATCCCATTAAAATACCTCAGTCCTTTAGGCCACGTTCCTCGTGGGTCAGAAGGGCGGCTACCGAGCAAAACTCGTCTTATCAGTGAGAAAGACTAGTTGGCGAGCAAACGTTTGCTTTTGATGAATTCTCGCCAGGCAAGGCACGAGACCGCGTGAAACATGTAAGTGAATAGATAAGTCAATTAAAGGTGGCATTACGGAAGTAGTTGTGCTAACTCCCGGTGGAGTCACTGGGAATCCCTATCTGTGGTTAGGAAATTCGACATGGTACCAGAGGGGAGTTTTCGTGTTTGTGGAAATGTTGACCACTCTTCCATCGCGATTTCAGTTTGAGCCTGATATTTCGCAATAACTTGCTCATCTTAGAACATGTCCCCCGAATGCTCTCTACTTCTGCCGGTGTTTCTCAGATCCTTTTTGTTGATATCTTAATGTAACACTTCACAACGCTCTAGCAATTTGTTGATCGAATTCTCGACGATGTCAGTCCCCTTCACTCTAAATTAATGAATGCTAAATCTTTCCGATCCATGTTCTGTGGCCTCGAGCATATTTCTTACGTACATTAGTACGCCGGCTTTCAGTATTATCATCGTTGGTACGATACATAACGTGTAAAAGAGACAGAAACACAGGAATTGAAACTCGAACTGTTCCCATACAGTTTTTGTGCAAACCCATTCAATCCTTTGTCTATTCATTTGTATTCTAGCTACCTGGGGCACGTTCTTCTTGAACGCTGTCCAATAATGTCCTTAGGATAAGGTGCATTACTTCCCCTCCACTTGTAAACAACATACGCAACCGAACGAACGGACGACTGACACTGGCAACTCGTAATATAGCATCAGCGTAACAGTCCCAGAAGCACGCGTTGGCGCGCTAATGACATGGCAGGGACAGGTTTGCAGTTACGGAGGACGAGAAACCCGCGCAATCGGCATAACTGTATACAATGAAAAAGGAGAATCAGAAGAAGGAAAATATGGGGACAGACCGTCGTGACAGTTCGTATATTCGTATAGTAAAACAACATCTCCGTCTAGTCTTCTATGCGACCTACGCCTACGCCACTAACCACATTAGTCAGCAAGTGTACGCCAAAGCCATATGCCACGAGGGACGGCATACAAAACGACCCAAAAATGACGGTTACAAAGACAAAGGCATGAGAATCTTAAATTTTAATGAACATTACCAGTCCAAGTAAAAGACAAATGAGACAAATTAAAGTTCCTTCAACTCATCAGGCAAGTCGTTTTTCGGATGCTTGCTTTCAAAGTGCATTTTGTAGGTCTTTGGGTCCGGCATTTGAGCCTTACAAACTACGCACGAAAAGGCCAATCCGGCAGCCGCAGTCTTTTTGTGGTCGGCTGCCGAATGCTTTTTCTGTTGTGCCTGATTTCGTTCCTTAGCCCTTTGCTGTGACTGGATCTTCTGCAGACCACGAGCCATACCGGCCGCCACAAACCAAAACTTCCGCAAGACTGGGAAATTGAGCTTTTAACCAACCCGCTTAAAAAATCTGGTTCTTAACTTCTAAGCAAAGAATGCTTAATAGTCCGTTTCCCTTATTGTAACAGTGGCATTTCTAAAAGCTACTGAGAATAATGCAGTCAGAGGAAGCGATGCACAGGTGAACCCCGGTATCCACAGGGGTAAGAGGTCATGGCTACTTCCAACTACCTGAAATCCATAAACGCTACAGACCTGCAGCAGGCAGCCATCATGACGGGTCTAGTACCATTGTTCAGGACTTCGCTGCCTCAAAGTCATTCGTCCCTTGCAAAAAGCCGCTTCAGACGCGCTAAAATGAATTAACTCGACCGACTTCAGCTCGGGCACAACTGTGTCCTCACTGTGTCGCGGCTACCCATGCGCCACTTGAACGCAACTCACCCTGCAACAGCAGCCTAAGCCACTGGGGCACCACACCTCGAAAAACGCAGCACACACGGATTGGACATTAACTGAGCTTAGCCCACGAGTCTACAAGAGCGGCTGCCATCACTGTCTCATTGAATCTCAGGCATGACTGAATACAGTCAACACCAGTCCGGGATTCGCCAGTGGCTACTGCCGCCTGAGGGGACAAGTCAGGGTTATGTATGCATTCAACGTCTCATTCTGATGCCCTCCGTCCTCCCCTACAACTTGGGACCCGACCTGGTGGTTTTAGCGCTCAGAGCACTTACTCTCGCCTCCTAGCTTCAACAGACCAATGTAAAAACGCTCATAAATGTCTCGAAACTTTTCTCTAGAAAAATACGAACTCTCCGAAAGACGCAGCATCCCATACTCTGAGACGCTCTCGGAAATCCCATACTTGATGCCCAGTTAATCGCTGATAACTTCAATGATTTCCCGTCTAAAACTTTAACTGACGACTCGACCACTCCGCTTCCGACCATCCAGTCACTGACTGGGGCAGTTCTAGAATCTATATCTTTCACTCTGTGGGATGTGACTGTTGCGATTCGGCGTTTTCGTCAATCTTATAGTCCAGGACCTGATGGTGTCCCAACAAGCATTTTAAAAGCCGATGCAAACACGATCTTCCCATCCCTCTTGTGCAAGATATTTAATCTTGCTCTTGAAACTGAAACCTATCCTACCCTGCCGAAGGAATCACACATTTTGCTCATTCCTGAGCCCGGCAAATCTACATCATTTGATGACTTTCGGCCAATAAACACCCTCCCCGCAGTGTCGAAGATCTTAAAGACATTGATCAAAGATAAGATGATGTGTCACTTAACAGTAAATAACTTACTGAGTGATGCTCAGCATGGATTCCTCAAAGCTCGATCTTGTGACACCTGTCAACTCTCTTTCTTCGACTATGTTCTCCAATCTATGGACCACGGTTTCGCACTTTACATAGTTTATTTTGATTTCACTAATGCTTTGGTCGTGTTGATTATGCTCTTCTTCTCTTGAAACTGTCCTCTTTCGGAATAGGTGGTAAACTTTTAAATTTTATATCCTCTCACCTGGGCACTCGTACACAACGAGTTAAGATTTCCAATACTACCTCCAACCCCACACGAGTGAGGAGTGGAGTCATTCGGGGAAGTGTACTCGGCCCGCTTTTATTTTGCCTTTTCGTTAATGATGTACCCCATTTATTTCAGAATGGTAAGCCTTTCATGTTTCCGATGATCTTAAAGTTGCATATCGATATAAGCCGGTAGATCGTGACATCGTGCTTGAGCTCCTAAAGAGCGACCTACAGGCTTTCGCCTAGTGCTGCCGCATATGGAGCCTTTCTCTTTCTTGGCATAAGTGCTCAGTCATGGTTGTTGGCGACGACCGCCAACCTCAACTAAATATTGAAGGTCACTCCATAAATGTGCCCAGGGTTATAAAGGATCTGGGCATATCATACTCCAAGAGTCTCAATCTCTCGGAGCACTGTGTCTTGATAGTCTCCAAAGCACGCAGAACGACGGGGTTTATCCTCCGAAACTTTAAAACTAGGGACATCAGAATGCGCCTTTACAACATGTACGTTAGACCTGGTCTGGAATACTGTTGGTTTTTTTCGGCCTCATGCGTGCTACTGAGCTGAAGAAAATAGAATCCGTTTGACACTTTTTACCAAGAGAGTTTTAACCCCAGCACACCGACACTTGTCTAACCAAGAACGTTGCCGGTTTACGGGCCTTGACGCTTTTTGGTTCCGTAGATTACAAAAGGGACTATTTTTTCTATTTAAACTCTTATATAATCACATATTTTACCCACTCACTTCTTTAAGACATCATATCCACCCACGACGTAACAATCGCCGTGAGGTCTTTTTATTTCTGCCTCTGGCACGTACTGTTAAATATCGTCGGTTCTATTCTGTAAATGCACTTGCTATTTGGAATAAACTACCAATGATTATGAAAACTCTGCAAAATTATCCTTTATTTGAGAGAACTATTACTCGATTTTTGCATTCAGAAAAGCTTCCTCAAATTTTGGGTTCTGAATCCACTGATCGACTGTACCGTAGCGATGACGTTTGTGGTCTCTGAACACTATGGCCGGTCTCACCATCTGTTCCTCAACGCCTCTACTTTGACTATCCCCAACTTCATGAAAGGAATTGACGTCCGATAATCTCCGATACCGTGAAACCCCCTCCCCCCTTTCTTGACGGTCGAAAATCTACCGCCAGCAATTTTTTTTTCCCCTGAACCCTTCAAACCATAAAAACCATCATCAACTATATTTTTCTTCTTCGGGAGTTTTTTTTCACTGCTGGTCGGATTTGTGTTTAATCGCTTCCCTTGCCAATGCCTGTAAACTGGCATTTAATAAATTAAATTAAAATTAAATTACACCAACAAAGAGCGCTGGCAGCTTGCCCTTCACATGTGTATCAAGCTATAATACAAAAAGTCAAGTGAGGCAGCCAAATAAAGACGTTACAGCATATATCACGGACGCGAGCAACTTAGCAACTGATCTGGATACAGCCATAAAGGTAGTCTAGAGTCTGAGACTAAATCTACGGCCAACAAAAGAGGGCAGAATACAACCACCAGTTTTTTTCCCGAGAGATCCCGTTGTGTGGTAGTGCAAGGAGTTCCTGAAGCACCTGGTGACACCCCGAAAGAAAGGGTGAAACACGATCTCCTGACATTCCAAAACCTACTCGATGACACGCAAGAACCCGGTTAGGTCGTCGAAATCCAACAGATCTTCCGTTTGGGACCTTCAGTAAGAAACAACGCATGCAAAGTGCGGCCGAGACCACTAAAAGTCGTATTGCGAAACGAAAAGCAAGCAAATCTCATCTTGTCGCGAATGTCCAGGCTTCGAAATAACTATCGTGGTGTTTTTTCAGCCGGACTTTCACCCAATCGAAAGAATAAAAATGAGGACGCTGGTAGCGGAACTGAGAAAACGTCAGAGCGAGGGCGAAGTGAATCTGAAAATAGCAAACAACCAAATTGTAAAAATAGAGCGTTCCTTATTGTGGAATCATCCGGCGACATTGACGATAAAGGCACCGGCGCTCGGTTCCGACAAACTCCAGTAAATTCAAAATCGACTAGTGGACTTGGTACGCCAGGAGAAATATGCAGCAATAACTATCAGTCAAAAGCACCAGCGAACAAATTCCAGAGATCTAAACAGCAGAATAACATAAAATGATGTACACAAATGTGCTGAATTTATTCAACAAATTGGATGAAATAAAACTCACTGTGGCCCATTTCCAAACCGACTTGATAGCTTTAACTGAAACATGGTTAAATGCGCAGATAGAAGACACGGAAGTTATGCTATATGGTTTCCAGATTCTCCGAATTGACCGAAGCGAACGAAGGGGTGTGGAGATTGCAATATTTATACGAGATGGCATCGACTACGTCAGGGTTGAGTCTTCCCCATTAGAAGCGAAGAGACGGGTCCCAGGAAGTAGTCTTTTCAGTATTCAGTATAGTCAGTATATTTGGTAAGGATAATAGGCAAAGCCTTTGAAAACCCTACTGATTACATTTCAGCTCGTTAGAAGTAACTGTACACGAACAAAAAATATTCACTATGAAAACAGTACTTGGTTCATTTGAGTAGCATTGTCTCAGAGAAAATATTTGTGGGGACCAGGGGTATTAGTTCAGATTCAGACCGTCGAGGGAAAACAGGGGACACAAATAATCATCCAAGCGTTTCTTGAAGAGTTGCAGGGATGTAGCCTCCACGACTGACTGAGGGAGATCGTTCCATTTCTCCACTACTCTGCGTGAAAAATTCAGAACGGAGATTCAGCCTGGACATTGTTGTCCGTAACTTCATCGAGTGACCACGAAGATAGGGTGAAAGGTGCCACTGAAACATGTCCTCAAATTTAAGTCCATACTCAAGGCCATGTATTATCTTGTAGACGAGGATAAGATCACCCCTTTGCTGCCTGTAACACAGAGGGAATAAATTAAGGCAATTCAGTCTGTCTGTGTAGGAATGGCTTTTTAGACCGTTTACCAGCTTTGTTGCACGCCGTTGTACCCGTTCGAGGCATTCTTGGTCCTTTACCAGCCATGGCCGCCATGCTTGTATGCCATATTCTAAGTGGGGCCGAACAAATGTGCCGTAAACTCTCCAAAAAAGGTCTTGGTCAAAATTTACGAAAGTCCTTTTTATTGCATGCAGCACTCCCATGGCGTTTTTTTGCAGCCTTGTGGCACCGCAGTGTTGGTTTCAGGTTGTTCTGTATCCAAACCCCGAGATCCTTCTGTGAAGATTCTGCGGGGAGCCTTATATCTTTCAGGTGATAAGTCCTCAGGCTCTCATTTGAATGAGAGTTGGTTGGACGCAGATGAAGGACGGCACACTTCTCCACATTGAAATCTAGAAGCCATTTCTTCGACCACGCTTGCAGTCGGTGCAGATTATCTTGAAGGGATCTCTGATCATTCGGACCCTTAATGACTTGCCAGAGCTTAACGTCGTCTGCAAACATTATTTTGCCGCAGTCGAGTTCCTGAAGGCTGTCGTTAACGTAAAGGATGAAGAGCAATGGTCCCAGAACTGAGCCTTGTGGCACACCACTGGTCACATTCACCCATTCTGACACATCATCCCCGATACAGACACGTTATTTCCGACCACCCAGAAACGCCCTAATCCAGTTCAGAAGATCTCCCCGGATGCCGATGCCGCTCAGTTTGTGAAGAAGACGTTGGTGTGGGACAGTGTCAAAAGCTTTGCGGAAATCGATGTACACGACATCGACCTCAAAACCCTCTTCTACAGCCCTGGTCCAGATTTCCAGACAAGTTAGCAGATTTGAGAGGCAGGAACGTCCTCTCCGGAAGCCATGTTGAAAATCCTGCAAGATGTTATTTTCTTCACAAAACTGCTGTATAGCGCTCTTTACTATAGCTTCCATCGTTTTGCAAGGGAGGCAAGTTAAGCTAATAGGTCAAAAGCTGCTTGCTGTCATCTTGCTACCTTCTTTATGCAATGGAACGAGGTTAGCTGTCTTCCACTGTGAGGGCAGCCTTCCTGTTCTCATTGACAGCTCAAAGAGAGTTGAAAGAGGCTTTGACAGCTCCCTTGATAGCTCCTTAAGTATCAGCCCGGAAATTCCGTCGGGTCCAGGAGACTTATCAGGTTTTATTTTACTGAGGACTCGTCTGACTTCTTCGACGGAAAAGGCGACGGTTTTAATGACGGCAATATCTTGGCGCATTTGAAGCTCCCGGCTGTCTCGGTCCATTTCAAACTGCTGATTGTCTTCTAGGGACTCTTCCGTAAAAACCGATTGAAAAAACTGAGACAGTAATCGCACTTTCTGTGACCCTTCAAATAATAAGTTTCCGAGGCTAT